TTTCAAAATATATAAGATCATTGTATAATTTTGGCTTCTTTGTCAAAAATCAGATGTTCATAGGTGTGTGGATTAATGTCAGGGTCTTCAATTCGATTCCATTGATTGATGTGAGTTTTTTTATTTTATAATTTAATTTTACATATCAACCAAGGATTCCCCTGTCCTCCCTCCTCCCGCCCCACCCCCTGCCCTCCCCCCCTATTCCCATCTCCTCCAAGGCAAGGACTCCCCTGGGGATTCAGCTCAGCCTCATAGATTCAGTCGAGGCAGATCCAGTCCCTTCCTCCCACCACCCAGGATGAGCAAGGTGTCCTTGCATAGGTCCCAGGCTCCAAACAACCAGCTCATGCACTAAGGACAGGTCCGGGGCCCACTGCCTGGGGGCCTCCCAAACAGTTTAAGCTAATCAACTGTCTCATTTATCCAGAGGTCCTGATCCAGTTGGGGACTCCTCAGCTATTGATTCATAGTTCATGTGTTTCCACTAGTTTGGCTATTTGTCTCTGCTTTTTTCCAATCTTGGTCTCAACAATTCTCGCTCATACAATCTCTCCTCTTTCTCGCTGATGGACTCCATACCACCCTGAATGCACCAGATCTCATCTGATGTGTCTGTTTGTATGCCAGGACCAAGCTGTTCTTATTACTATAGTTCTATAGTAGAACTTGAAATCAGGAATGCTGATGCCTCTGGAAGTTCCTTTATTGTACAGAATTCTTTTGGCTATCCTGGGTTTTTTGTTTTTCCATATGAAGTTGAGTATTGTTCTTTCCAGGTCTGTGAAGAATTGCATTGGGATTTTGATGGGGATTACATTGAATCTGTAAATTGCTTTTGGTAAATTGCCATTTTTACTATGTTGATCCTACTAATGCATGCTCATGGGAGATCTTTCCATTTTCTGATATCTTCTTTAATTTCTTTCTTCAAAGATTTAAAGTTCTTATCATACAGGTCTTTCACTTGTTTGGTTAGAGTTACCCCAAGATATTTTATATTATTTGTGGCTATTGTAAAGGGTGTTGTTTCTCTGGTTTCTTTCTCAGCTCATTTATCATTTGAATATAGGAGGGCTACTGATTTTTTTTTTAGTTAATCTTGTATCCTGTCACATTTCTGAAGGTGTTTATAAGCTGTAGGACTTCCTTGGTAGAATTTTTGGGATCACTTATGTGTACTATCATCTTCCACAAATGGTGCTGGCATAAATGGATATCTACATGTAGAAGAATGCAAATAGACCCATATCTGTTGCCATGCACAAAACTCAAGTCCAAATAGATCAAAGACTTCAACATAAATCAAGTTACACTGAACCGCAGAGAAGAGAAAGTGGGAAGTAGCCTTGAACGCATTGCCACAGGAGACAACTTCCTGAATATAACACCAATAGGACAGACACTGAGCAACAATTAATAAATGGGACTTCTTGAAACCGAGAAGCTTCTGTAAGACAAAGGACACAGGCAAAAAGACAAAAAGGCAGAATTCCCTACAGAATGGGAAAAGATCTTTACCAACCCCGCATCTGATAGAGAGCTGATCTCCAAAATATATCAAGAAACTAGACAGCAAAATATCAAATAATTCAATTAAAAATGGGCTGCAGAGCTAAACAGAGATTCTCAACAGAAGAATCTCAAATGGCCAGAAGACATGTAAGGAAATGTTCAACATCCTTAGCTATCAGGGAAATGCAAATCAAAACAACCCTGATACCATCTTATGCCTGTCAGAATGGCTAAGATCAAAAACATAGATGACAACTTATGTTGGAGAGAATGTGGAGAAAGGGGAACACTCCTCTATTGCTGGTGGGAGTGCAATCTTGTACAGACACTTTGGAAATCAGTGTTGCAGTTTCTCAGAAAACTGGGAATCAATCTTCCTCAAGACCCAGCAATACCACTCCTGGGCATATACCTAAAAGATGCTCAACCATGTTCATAGCAGCATTATTTATAATAGCCAGAACCTGGAAACAACCTAGATGCCCTTTAACAGAAGAATGGATAAACAAAATGTGGTACATTTACACAATGCAGTATTATGCAGTGGTAAAAACAAATAAACAAAAAAACCAAACAAATGAAACACACACACACACACACACACACACACACACACACACACACACACAAAACCACATAAAATGTGTAGGCAAATGGATGGAACTAGAAAAAAGTCATTCTGAGTGAGGTAACCCAGACCCAGAAAGACAAACACAGTAGGTACTCACTTATAAGTGAATGTTAGATGCAAAGCAAAGGATAACCAGGCTACAATCCACAACCCCAGAGAACCTAGGTAAAGAGAAGGACACTAAGAGGGACACACATGGATTGCCCCAGGAAGGGGAAAGGGTTAAGATCTCCTCGGTAAACTGAGAGGGGGAATAGAGGGTAGGGGATTAGAGGGGATGGGAGGTGGAAACATGGGGGAGAGACAGGGAGGGAGAGCAATGAAAGAGATGTCTTGACAGAGTGTACCATTAAGGGGATGGGGAGAAAGCTGCAGCTAGGGAAAACCCCAGGAACTCACAAGATTGTCCCCAGCTAAGAATCATAGCAGTGGTGGAGAGGGTGCTTGACATAGCCTTCCCCTGCACTCAGATTGGTGTCTGTACTAATTGTCATCATAGAACCTACAGCCAGTAACTGATGGAAGCAGATGCAGAGACCCACAGCCAAGCACTTGCCCAAGATCCTGGAGTTCAGCTGAAGAGAGGGAGAAAGGGTTGTAAGAGCAAGGGGGATCAGAATCATAATAGGAAAAATCACAGAAATAGATGACCCACACTAATGGGAGCTCATGGACTCTGGACTGACAGCTGGGGAGCCTGCATGGGACTGAACTAGGCCCTCTGAATGTGGTGAAAGTTGCATGGCTTGATGTGTTTGTGAGTCCCCTGGCGATGGGACCAAGACTTACCCTGGGTACACAAACTGGCTTTTTAGACCCCGTTCTCTATGGCAAAATGTCTTACTCAGCCTTGGTGCAGCAGGAAGGGGTTAGGTTCGTCCTCAACATGGTATGACAACCTGTGTTGACTACCCAAGGGAGGCCTTACCCTATGAGGAGGGGATGGGGATGGGATGGGGGTAGGTGGTGGGGGACAGGAGAAGAGGAGGGAGGGAGACAGGGATTGGTATGTAAAAGGAAAGAAAAATTTTTAATAAAAAAATTATATGAAAAAATAAAGCATCAATATGTTTTACGCTAGGGTCTATACTTTCTCTAGCAATGATTTTTGAACATTTTTACAGCATCATACCTCAGTTACCGTCTATGGACCAGACTGAACTCCGTCAAGGTAGTTGACTGTTACTCCCATGGACATCCTTGTCACTATTTTACTAGCAAACACATCTTGCTTAGCAGGTTGGCATTTAATCATGCTGGGTTCAGTGCTTGATAAAGCCATTGATGTCTTCTTAACATCCCTTTGATAACAGCATATGGTGATACCAACAGCAGGTCTTTAGGGTCATTCAGTATTTTGGCTGTGCTATGTTTGAATCCTACCCCAGCTACTTGGAAAAATATCTTTTGCAATTATAAAAATAAAAATAAAAGGATTTGTGATGGAGGGCAAGTTTCCACAGCCAAACTGTCCTAAATCATCTAACACTCAGATAAATCCTCAATAATTAGAAGCTCGGGCAAGATGTGAAAAAACTCCCCAGCTGAACACTACTGACAAAAATGCCAGGATCAGCCTAGCCTAGAAGATCTCCTATCATATTATCTCATTGTATACACTGGTACTTCATTAAATATTTGTTTTGAGCAATTCTTGTTCTGCAGCAAAAGCAAACCCTTATAATAACCAGTGGACATGAGGACAACTGTATAATATGCTGCTTTGGAGTTTCCTATGAATCAAAAGATAATATTCAGCTTTTATTTTGTAAGTATGTCCAATATTCTATATTTGGACATTGCTACATGGGGGTTATTTCCACAATAAAGGATTTTCATATTTGTATGGGAAAGCTAGTGAACCACAACTGCATGTCTGGAAGGGAAATGAGGCTCTCTTACAGTGAAGACAGATGTGACTTGTGAGCACAAAGAAGACACATAATGAATAACGCTGAATTTGTTCATTCCCTGCCCCTCTACTGACAACTGCAGGATTTAGAACAGTGAGGAAATTTTACTTAGAACTTTAGAGCAATCAGGTTTCTGGGGAAAATAGAAGTTCTAGAGAAAAACTAAAATGTTAACTTTAATAATAATAATAATAATAATAATAATAATATAAACATGTCAGACAGGGGCTGATAGATGGCTCAGCAGTTTACATTACTTGTTGCTCTTCCAAAGGGAAAAGAACAGGTGAACTGTCTACTTCATAGGAAACCGGAAGCCCAGAGAATGGAGACAACAGCAGATACATACACATAATACTCGCTTCTGTCCTCTCACCAAGAAATGGGGTCTCTCCTCGATGAATTCTTTGGGGGTTTCATATGTTTTGGTCATATGAGCCGTCTTCTTCAGCTCTTCACAGGTCTACCTTCCCATTCTATAACCATTCAAATTCTTGCCCTTTTATTTTGAAATCTTTTGAGGCTAATTGGTGCTGCTTAAATACTCTTGCACGTGTAGCCTTCTAGTGGGAAGTGATCAGCTTACCAGGGTCTACATTCTTAGAGCAGGCTGTCTTTTCTCCTAGTAGCTAAAAATAATTACATCACTTGGGGTGGGATTGTGTGCTACCTCTCCTCTCTATGCTTGGGTTTGTTCTGGCCTGGATTTTCAGGTTTGCGGCATGATATTGCAATTACTGTAAGTGCATGTGTGCAGATGCCTTGCTGGGCCCAGAAGATAATGTTCCCTTGTAGTCATGCACTGCCTCAGGTTCTTAAACTCTTTCATCCCTTCTTCCAAAATGATCTATCAGCCTTGGGAGTGGGATTGGTATACATATTCATGAGACAGAGGATAGGAGATTTCAGAATGTTCAGCCCTTAAACTGGAAATTCTTATTTCAAAATTTAAGACCCAAGACAGTAATCACTTTTCTAATTTCTTCCTCAAAATTCTTCTTCAGAGCTCTCTTGATGTCCTTGTTCCTCAGACTGTAGATGAAGGGGTTCAGCATGGGGGTGACTACAGTGTACATCAATGAAGCTATTGCAGTGGAGTGTGAGTTTTGGGTCATAGCAGAACTGAGGTACACTCCCAGGAGAGTACAATAGAATAAGGTGACAACAGAGAGATGAGATGCACAGGTGGAAAAGGCTTTGTACTTCCCCTGTGCTGAGGAGATTGCCCTTATAGAGGACACTATCTTGGCATAAGAGTAAAGGATGCCAGCAAGACAACCACCACCCAGGATTGTAGCTAAAACATTCATTACCATATCATTTAAAAAGGTGTCAGAGCAGGCAAGGTGAATCAACATGCTAAGTTCACAGAAAAAGTGTGGAATTTCCACATTAGCACAGTAGGAAAGCTGCAACACCAGGAAGCTTTGCAATGAAGAATTCAAGGAACTTGTGATCCAGGACACCAGAACCAGTGACACACAGAGCTGAGGTGTCATAATGCTGGTGTAGCGCAGGGGGTGGCAGATGGCCACAAAGCGGTCATAAGCCATTACAGCCAGGAGGAAGTTATCCAGCCCTACAAATAATGCGAAAAAGTATATTTGCATGATGCAGCCTTCGTAAGTTATGGTGTTGTGGTGTGCAAAAACATTCACCAGCATCTTTGGGATGGTGGTGGAGGTTAGGCAGATGTCCACAAAAGACAGGTTGGAGAGGAAGAAGTACATGGCTGTGTGCAGGTGGAAGTCTGAGATCGTGGCCAGGATGATGACAAGATTCCCCAAAATGGTCACAAGATACATGGAGAAGAAGAACCTATATATAAGGGGCTGCAGTTCTGGGTCTTCTGAAAGTCCCAGGAGAAGAAACTGTGAGTTCTCCGTATCATTGTGTTGTTTCATGTGCTGTAAGTGACTTCTGGAAAAGACAGAAATAATATGACTGCTTCTTGGCATGCACAATAATACCAACTATAAAAACCACAATGGAATAAATGCACGTAAAGGATAAAGTCCCCATGGACAAAACATAAGAAAGAAAACAGTCATAATGGCTGGAGAATTCAAAGAGATTATTACAGAATGAGATCCCATCATTCCCAGAAACACAGAGCTAATAATATATTCAAAGTAATGTTTCTAATGTATTATTGGATTCATTTGTCCATAGCCAGCATTAGAGGCTATTTGTGTAGCTTATCAGCATATATATATATATATATATATATATATATATATATATATATATATATATATATATATAT